TGAACTCTTAGCATTCAAGGAAACTTTCAATGAGAGAGGCAGAAGGAGAAGCGTCAACACTAACTGGGATATTTTCAAAGCCAATATTGAGACTGCAATCGATAGGCAGGTACCAAAAAAATCATAAAGACAAGCAATAACATTCCATACATCACAGAAAAATTAAAAAGCATGATGAAACTAGAGCACTCGAGAGCACAGACCTCCGCCAAAGCAGCTGAATTCTCTCAATGTGAATTTTTTTATTAATTAATTAATTAATTAAGTGCGAAAAATTAATTAATTAATTAATTAATTAATTGGATCCGGATTAGTGGCGAGCGTGCAGCGTGGGGGAGGACTGTGGTTGCCCCTTAGCCTGTGGTTGCGTGTTTGTAAGTCTACAGCCAGCACACCTAGCGGAAGTGAACTGAAACGTGCATGTTCACAAACCCACAAACCCACAAACCCACAAACCAACACTCAAAGACACGCCGGTAAAAACATAACCTCCGCCAAGCCCCTGGCGGAGGTAAAAAAGGAAACAGAGGTGGAACAAGGCAAAGAAAACCAAGGCTGATAGAGAACTCTATGAAGAGACTCAGCGAGAAATTAAGGAGAAACTACAATTAGAATACAACAAATATCTAGAGAGTCTATTTGAAAACGATGCAGGGCTCACACCCAACAGACTCTGGAATTTCATCAAAATAAGAAAAAAGATATTATTGGCATACCGGCACTACTTTACAAAAACAGACTTGTGTCTACTAAAACAGAGAAGGCAGAGGTCCTAGCAGACCAGTACGAATCAGTTTTCACTACAGAAAATAAAGACAATATCCCTGACATGGGCCCATCACGCCACTCAACAATGGAAGACATCTCCATTACCTTACCTTAACTAAACTACTAAAATCCTTAGATCCTGAGAAAGCAATTGGCCCTGACAATCTACCAACAACACTGCTGAAGAACTATGCAGAGATCATAGGGCCGATGCTGTGTCTTATATACAAGCAAAGTATACACACCGGTGACATGCCAGAGGATTGGCTAAACGCAAACATCATAGCTGCCCACAAGAAAGGAAACAAATCTGACCCGGCAAACTACAGACCAATATCCCTTACCTGTGTGGCATGCAAAGTCATGGAACACATCATATTCAGGAGCGTGATGGATCACTTTGACCATAACAATATACTTGCAAACTGCCAGCATGGTTTCAGGAAGTCTCACAGCTGTGAGACTCAGCTGCTTTCCACTGTCAACGACCTTAGTTACAGGCTGGATAACAACGAACAAGTAGACGTAGTAATCTTAGACTTCACAAAGGCTTTCGACACAGTCACCCACAATAAACTGCTTCATAAGCTTAACTACTATGGAACAAGAGGGAAGACTTTCTATGGATACGTAAATGGCTGACCAAAAAACACCAAACTGTAGTGTTAGATGGTAAAAAATCAAGAAAAGTACCGGTAAAGTCAGGAGTCCCCCAGGGAACAGTCCTCGGCCCCCTCCTGTTCCTCGTTTTCATAAACGACATATTTAATGGCATCGACTCAACACTCCGACTGTTTGCAGATGATTGTCTCATCTACAAACCCATCAGAAGCGGATCTAATACAGAGCTTCTTCAAAAGGACATTGATAAGCTAGTTCAATGGTCCAAAAACTAGCAAATGTCTTTCAATCCAAAAAAGTACACCAGCCTCACAATATCAAGGAAACAAACCCCAATAAAGCAGACCTATACCATCATGGAAACCAAGCTCAAAAAGAGGAACTCAACTCTACCTCGCATGGCAGCACACTGATGACCTTTCTTGGTCTACCCACATCAGCCGGTCGAAAGGAAAAACAACCCGGCGCCTAAATTTCATCCGCAGGAACGCTTGTAGGATGCCCAGAACCTGTCAAAGAGATGGCATACAAAGCATATGTGAGGCCAAGCCTCGAGTATGCAAGTAGTGTCTGGATCCACACACACAGAAGGATATCTCCTCCCTGGAGAAAGTGCAGAGACGAGGCAGCGCGCTTTGTAACGGGAAATTACCAGCAAACTAAGTGTTACACAAATGATCGCAGCTAGACCTACAATGGCCCTCCTTGCAGGAACGCAGGTTTGTCAACCGACAGGCCAGCCTAAAAATTACTCTTTTTTTACGAGAGCTATTAAAAAATTACGAGAAAAGAGTTCACGTACACAATATTCTTGATATTTATGATATATGATATACGCGATCTGTTATGGATAAATACATCGTAACCTCGCAATTATTAGTCTTCAAAGTCTAAGGGACTATAATGAAGACTAAAAGAAACTAAGTTAATCAAATAGACAGATAAACACTGTAGAAAAAGCCTCAAGTTTGCAACTAACTAAAGAAGAAGGAAAAAATACATTTCAATACCACCAGCTAGGAGCCATAGATAACGTTGTGTTTGCCACTAATGGCAATATATTAATATAATTTATGTATTTTAATAACATATCATCTAAATATCAATTTTTTTATATAAACAGTTTTGCTATCTATACTGTGTACATCTATCGCTTTATACAACAATTTATTGAGAAGTTTTGCAACATGCACCTACCCGTGGGTGTTGTGCAAGCAACGAACGTTGACATTTTTAAGTCAAGGCTTCACTCCCACATGCACGCGAACCCACTTTAAGAGGACACCATGCAGTTGCATTGCACTCACATCATCATTATGCACCTGTTTGTTTATTGGGTTTATCCCTGAAAGCACTTACTACCTTGTCATTATATCCAATGTAGTGGACACCGACAAGTACGAAAACACAACAGCTATGAGTATGATCAAAGGTTGCGCTGTAATTTTCAATTACAATTCAATAAAAAAAATTGCAAAGTTGAGAGATAGCTCACAAGTCCTACAGCACTATCTTGCGAAAAGCTTCCATTTTCTAGTTTTGATAATACAAGAACGTTAATTATGTTTGTGCTATATTTATACAAAATATAGCTGGGAAAGAATCTATTGCGCAATATAGATATTTTGCATTAATTACTGCGGGATAGGGCAGCAAAATTCCTTGAATCATCATCGTACATTTGCCACTTGCTAATCATGCGCGATTAAATAATACATTTTGCATAAATATTTTGAGAATATGATAATACCACAGTCTGTGATAATACTGCGTGAGGGAGACTCGCCTATGTACTAAATGACCATTCTTTTTTATTTGTTATTTAAAAAATAATATATTACAACCCCAAATTGACCACATACTTTGGCTGTGTGATATAACCAAGAAGCTGCATGAATGTCAGTGTAACTGTATGGGGTTGTGAAGCGACTGGGTCAGTAGGAAAAGCACGCACAGCCACAATACTAATTACTGCCTGTACGTTTCTTGCCACTAGACAAAATGTAAAATAGACCCAAAGTGTCATGGCGGACGACGATTTACACCGTACGAAAATGATTCCGCAATATTTTAGCAATGCAATTTTACAATGATTACAAATAAACAATAATAGATTATCTAGAATTTATGATCTATGTGGGCTAAATATTTCTTGTGTATATTCTTTTGTGTCTTTGTCAACACACATTGTTTGTGAAGAACTATTTGTCGTGGAATAAAACGTTGTGTTTCGGTGTTCCATCTGGCAAACAGCATTAGTTTTGTATTCAGGGAAGATCAAAATAAAATTAAGAATATTACTGGTTTAGCTATCAATTTGACAAATTAAAATAAATGTTCAAGCTGCTAGGAAAACAACATTTCAAGTTTCATGCATGGTTTCGGTATAGTGACAGGTCGCGCGGAAGTAGGATATATTAGTTAGTTCATAAGTCATAAAATGAGCTTGAAAGGAAAGAAAGACACCAAGATGAGAATCCGAGCTTTTCCAGTGAGTATGACTGACATTAGGCCCTACCTCTAATTACTATGGCTTGTTTTGCATTACAGCTGTGGGCCGTACTATATTCTATCAGTGGATAGGCTAAAACTACCGAGCGCTATTGGACGGCCACATAGATTTCGTTTGGTAGGGTGGGTGTCTAGATGCAATGTCAATAACAAACGACAATGACAGGAACCTTGTCTATTTCTGTAAAGCAGTGCCATGGGTGAATCAATAAGGAGCCATGCATGATTTAGTTATGCAGTTATTCACCATACTGGTGTTATATAATGTGCATAATTACTTAGTACTGCGCATAACAATACATACTACAGCTCATAGGGTCTATGTCCCCCAGGTTACTGCCGCCGTGCCGGAACGTACGCTGGGTACGGTCCGGTATACCGGAACGCACCCTGGTCACTATTTGATATGGTTAGGGTTAGGGTTAGAGTTACGGTTAGGGAGTAGGCGTAGGCATAGACCCTCTCAGCCATACTACAGTACCAATTGGCAATTATAAATTTGCGATTTTTACTGTTGTGCCTCGGTTTTGGCGAACAACTACTGGTATTGCCACTATTGGCCTTACAATGAGCATGTGTGAAAATCCCTGTGACCAGAATTGGATGTGTCTAATTTAAAAACCAGTTTGACCGATTTGGAGACCTGGTGCTCTTTTCGCTGCAGATTCGTGCCGTGTGCCAGTATGTGTAATAAGCAAAACAAGCAAGCAAATATTAAATACTACTTTATTTCATTCCCACTTATTTATAAATTAACTGCAAAAACGGCCAATTATACCACTATCCCACAAGGTGTTCCGTTGTTGTTATCCAATAAGTCGGTAGGGTTTTATAAACAGAGTGGCTATATGCCCGGCAGCCGGCAGATATCTGACGGCTGCCAGGCACGGTCTTCAATTTCCTAAATGCCCGGCAGTTTTTAATTTTCAGTGTTATCTCAAGTAAACAAGGGTTAGGGTTAGGAACTGCTGGGCATTTAGGAAATCGAAGACCGTGCCCGGCTGCCGGCATATAGCCGTGCAGCGTTTTATAAAATCCATAAACATTTCTGGTAATTGCAATTGTGCTGTTGTGCTAAGTATTGAGAAGCCATAATTAGCTTCACAAGATAAACTTCTGTGCAGGTAAGTAACCACATGACTGAATCGTAAATCCTTCCAGAGTGAATCACTTCAGACAGCATGCTGTAGCAAAACATGGGTTCCTATAATATCCATGTCTGTAGGTATTTAGCCCATTAAATAAGTACATACAAACAACCACCAGCCACACATTGGGGTGTATGCGTCTTACTCCTGTCACCACCACCTTTTAAAATACTAGTTCCTGCCCACTTTGTTGTGAATTTTAATTAATGTATGGCAGCATTTAAAGGTGTTTGTTGTGTAAGTGTTTTCTGAAAAATATGCGGGGTATCTAACTAAAACAATAGTTGGGTTCATACCGTACGTTGCTCACGTTTTATCCTGTTGTTAATGTTGGAAGCGATTTTACCCCACATCGTTCCTTATTATCTGACACCACACAAAAGCGTGTGTACACATGTCTAATACAACATAGTAAGGCATGAAGTTTAATGCATGAAGCTGTCATAATTACAGGGGTAGAAATTAACTTTTGAACACGGGAGTCCAACGGACTCCCTACCGTTGGACTCCCTACCCTCAAAAAGAGGGAGTCCGCAGCAAAATGAGGGAGTCCGCAGCAAAAAGAGGGAGTCCGCAGCAAAATGAGGGAGTCCGCAGTCTGAAGTTTAAAATTAAAGATATTTTACGTTATGCACGTCTGCCAAATTTTCTTTGGAATTTTACTGGAAAAATACGGTAATTCCGCGAGGCTGTGCTCTGGAACGAACTAGTTAGAAATGCAGAATTTTCAGAGAGTCACGGACTCCTGCATATGTCAAATCAGGGAGTCCGACAGTAAATCAGGGAGTATTTGACTCCGGAATCCCGTTAATTTTGCACCCTGTAAATGTAATTATGTGACAAAATTTCCTTTCTGTGTAGATAGAGATATTAAACAGTTTTGATAAACATTGGTGTTAGACCCCATCTATAAGTATTCATGGACATATATATGCTATTGGTATCCAAGGTCAACATAAATGTAATAGATAAATGTAATAGATAAATGTGCAAAGACAGCTCAAGCTAGAAGCATACTAATTCAATTCAGTTTGTGCAAAATATAATAATGTGCAAGCTGGTACTAATACAACATGCAACCAAGTACTAGTCTTTTATCTTATCACACAAATTTATTACTCAAGTTATGAATTGCAAGTTTGTTGTAAAAACTAGAGCTACTTTTGAAGGTTCACCTTATATCTTTGTTATGCTTTGTTTTCCTTTGGAATATTGATATATATGTACAGTTTTGTATGAACGTTGACTTCCATCTGATTCAAGGGAGATCTACTAACATAGGCAGAGTTTTGCATGAATGTGATGTGCACTATGTACACCAAGTGCCTTTGGGTTAGGGATGTTGATTCAACTTATATAACTTGCACCCGCACACTTGCACCCTTCAAACATAGGGTATACTGTCAGTAGCTAGTAAGGATATTCACTAGTGAAGTAATCCACACACTTTATTTAAAGGGGCATAATATGGCCCATCGATATGCAATTTTAAGCGAATGCTAGAGTCACTGGCACCTTGTGAGTTAATCAAGTACAATTACGTATACCAAACGCGTATTAGTTTTTGTCAATATCACTGCTGCGTTACTAATAGAATGTGCCTAATTGAAATCCGCAGTCCACGAAATCATTGACTGACTTGTTTAACAGTTTCAAAACGGGCATACTTCGAAGCGGGTGTGAATACAGATTTCAATAGTGGCACCGGACATTTTCGCACGGCAACCGTGCAACAAAAACCGCATGCACGCATGCATTTCGCTCGGCATGCCGTACGCAATGCTAGCGATAGTAGCAAGTAACCGTAACTGGTAATAGCGTAAAGTTAAGCTTCGTTGATTGTAAATGAAGCGTGGAATGCCATGTCGAATCAGCGGACGCGCGCTCGTGATAATAGAAATAGGCTGTGTTGGGGCCAACGCTATGGAGGATCGCGGACTAACCACGGCAACAAGACTAATAGACATGGAAGCAGACGGGCCAGCTACGAGGCGTATTTACGTATAATTGGTCAAACAATACCCTGTGTCTGAATTGATAGACATGTGATTACACCGTTCATTCGACACCCAGGTTATTTACTTGTGGCTCATACGCGGGAGAAAGCACCCAAGAACACATTCTAGCAGCTCTAAATGTCCGTATATAAGCACCCGGGACAAACAATTCTCTGCTAACACGCGCGTAAGCACGATGTGACGTTGCGTAACGCGAATCGAGGCTATTTTGCTTGGAACCAATTTAGCATTAGCGCCAGATTAACCAGATTTACGGATTTCAATTAGACATTTCCTTAGTAATATAGCAGTGATATTGGACAAACTCAATACGCGTTTGACTATAAGGTAATTAGCTTATTGAACTAGCAGAAGGTGCCAGTTTACTGTAGCAATTCTCAACTTTTGTAATAATCCAATTGGGCGGCTATTATGCCTTTAATAGACGTTTGACAGTTAAAAAAAAATTTCAGTTGAACATATTTGGAAGTGCTCAATATTGAAATTGTATTGCAGTGATCAGTCCTACTACTTGTAGGTGTACCCTATCTCGAGACAAAAGCATGTATAGCCATGGTTATTAGCTCATCTGACGAAGTCGGATGCAGCTTGTAGAATCGCATGAGCGTCCGTCCGTGTGTCCGTGTGTTCGTCAACAGTTGGGCACAAAATCTTAACCGGCTCGACGTACGGTCACGATATTTGGGACATCGGAGGGGGGGGATCGTGAAAAAGACTCGGGATGACCAATTTGGGGTCAAGGGTCAAAGGTCAAGATGTGTAAACGGAGGGGGAATATTTCCCCCTTAACTTAAGGTATAGGAGGAAATACGGAATTGCCGGCACAAATCTGAACGGCTCGACCTAGATCTATGCCTTAATATTCGGTGTATAGTGTGATGGGTAGGAACCCATCACCAGTGCGAAATTGAGTCCACAGTCAAAGGGCAGTGGAGAAAGGTCAGATACCAGACATTTTCTGAAGACATGAGCCTAATGGACAGAGTGGAAAACTTTTTTGTTTCAGAGCTGACCTACCATTTTTATCACTTTATTGAAAAGGACCATGAAATGTGCTTCTCCACTGACGTGCGAAGAGTAAGTGTCTGATAACCTTTTGACCCTCAAGAGGAGGGTTAAACATGGATTTGTTGACTGTTAACAAAGGACTGAACTGTGTTTGATGGTACTTGTGTGATCGTGAAGACTTCAATTTCACAGTGAAATTCTGCATGCAACATTTACTTGAACAACGTTTACGTGCCTTAAATCATATATGAACTTCATTCTATATATATTTGAGTTCGGTATTGTATGTTCTATGTATCTATGTATGCTATGGTAGTCTATGTATGCTTCCTTATAGGCGGCCAAAGCCGGCCCAGGCGATCTGGATGCAATTTTTCAGCAGCCCGGCCATCCTCTTATACCCGGGGAAGTGTTTCCTAGCTGGAAAAACCTGGCAAACCGTCAAACTCACCGAAAATGCCGTGAAAAACCCCTCAATTTCGTCAATCTTCACACATTGTCAGCACTGACTGTACAGTGCTCGGCCACACACAGAGAAAATCGATCACTCATTCCTGAACCGTATTGTGAAACGAAACGAGCCCGAGCTAAAACAGAGCAGCAGGGGCCTAGTTTCAAGAGGTTACGACTGCTTGTTTATCACAGGCCTTTCAAATGAGCAAGCGCAAACCCATTCGTAGGCTACATGCTGTTGGTCGCGTACGTGGCAAGCGTCATTGCCGTACGTGGGAGGCTCAACAGTTCGAGAACGCGCCAGGGAATCTTGTTACATATTTCCACCGCAGAATAACACGAAAAAACAATTATTTATCAAGAGGTTTTGCAAATGAAAAGTGTAACGACATATTCGTACATGGCTGTTATAATAACTATTTGTCATTCACCAATGATTACTATTATGTTCCAGAGGGTTTCTACAGCTGGGTTTGTGCCTGTCATATTAAAATGTAATAGCGTAACAGTTTTTCCCATGCTTATTATTTATTAGCAGCTGAAATTTCTAAATATGTCATATTGTGTGCAATTGTTATTGTCGATTTTTCACCAATGTTCCTATTGTGTCCGCCATTATTACTTAGTGAGTATGATTAGTAGCAGCGATTTTACGCCAGCGCAGCGGGTACTCCGCAGCTAGTTTCTCTATATATGAGATTCTGTACGTTGAAATAAATGTCAATGGCACTACGCAACGTCTGTTTTGATTAAGCCCAACTATAAATAGGCCTACCTCGCAGGTGGGTGGCTGATAGTATGGGGTAAACGAAGGTAGCAACTAGTTTGGATTATCTATTCCTGCACCTAGTCAGTATGCACGCCCATCTATCAGAACAGAGTGAGAAGAATTGTCCGGCAGGATAGGTCAAATGTATATTGCGGCTCACAAAGTCAGAAATAATTTGCTTTCCTACTTCAGTTTAACCAATGCTTGAGATAAGTAATTTGCAGAAATGAATCGTCAAACCTACCAATGAAAATTGGCCAGTTTTTGTACTGTCCTTGCCATGGCTCTCTCGTCGACGTTACAGTAGTGTGCAATGTCGGGAGATATGGTTGAGCTAGCTCTTGTACTATAGCCGCGTACAGTTTGCGTAGGCCTGCGGCAACTGTACGCGGGCTATAGTAGCTAGAGCTTATGGTGGAGCATGCTGGCTTGTGGACTGCTGCAGAGCCGATGGTTGACGTGCAGTCGAAATGTGTAACTGTTGATCCTCACTCGACATTGAAGAAATCTGTACGTTATACGTGCGTTTGCCTTACCTCTGCCAGCCATCTCGTCGAAAGTTTGGACGCTGCACGGCGAAATCGGATGTACATTTGCAATCGATGACGTAACTGATAGCAGTAGCACGCCGCGGGGGTGTTATTTATTAATAAAAAATTTGTCTGACTGACTCTGCTCCTTTCTCTCCGTCTCTCTCTCTCTCTCCCCCCCTCTCTCTCTTCCTCTGCTCTCGCTCTCTCTCTCTGCAATAAAAAAAATGTTTGCTGAAATGATGTGTACGCAACTGCGTATCTGCATATATGCTGCGCTAACAAGGCGTCATGCACGACTGAAATGTTACGTTTATAACCGTAGCAACAGACCTCAAGATGAGCCAGTCACTCTGGGCGGGCTCTTGTTAATGGTGAATTGTAGTTTTCGTGTGTATAGAATTTGAGATATATGTGTGTGTGTGCGTGCGTGCGTGCGTGGGGCGTCGTCGTGGCGTGCGTGGTGCGTGCGTGGCGTGCGTGCCGTGCGTGCGCGTGGCGTGCGTGTGCGTGTACAGAGAGAGAGAGCGATAGTGAAAGAAGGAGAGGTGTAAAGAGAGAGACAGAGACAGAGGGAGAGAGAAACAGCGAGAGAAACCAGCTGGTTCTACACAATCCCCAGACTTGCATACATTTACTATGTAAACCTGGTGATTGTGAATGTGATATGTTCCATATTGTAATTATCATTCTAAGATTCATAATTACATTTTTTATATAGATTTGTAAAATTTGAATGGTCTATTAAGTTCCTGATCATGTGATATATATTTTCTCATTCTCGTAGGTAATTCTCATTTCACCCTTTGCCTTTGAATTTTCTATTCTTACATAAACTACACATGTGTGTAGCATCAAGTTTATTTGTATCAAATACCGTGACTCCTTCATATATATATGATTATGTATATCACAGCACACAGTGTATTCAGCATACTTATTATTTAAACCAGCCAGCATATGACACCAGGGGAACGTGACATCATCACTTCCGCCCTCTTTCTATATATATATATGCACACTTATACCCCTGTCACACCAGGCCCCGATCTCACTACGCTTGTACTGCTCTCTAAGAGCGTGGTGGAAACGCGTAGAACGCAGTATGAACGTCTATGGACAACACGCTCCGACCACGCCGTTGTGGCATTTGCATTACGTGTTAGTTGCGTCAATACCACGCTCAGATCACGTTCTGTGAACTTGGGGTATAAACTGGGGTGCTACCCTGGCCACCCCACCAGTTCAGTGTCCACTATGGATGAGGCAACACTACTCCATGCCATGTTTCTCGTAGAAGGCCAACTCGAATTACTTGATTGCCAAGCCCTCATCATGCTGAGGAGGATGAGGAGGAGAATTAGAAGATAAATAGTAGAAAATAATCTTGATGTGAACAGAACGAATGATGATGTCTAGAACGCGGCGCGGTATTTATATGGTCGTTGCCAGCGCAGTCGGCGCCTGACGACTAGAGCGTCATTAAGTCGCACTAGGAGCGTGACTGGCGCGCAGTTGAGGCGCGGTGAGCGTTGCTTAGGCGCAGTGAAAGCGTCGTTTGAACGCAATGCAATCGGATTGCTCGCAATAAAGACGCAGTGGGCGCAGTGCAAGCGTGATGCGGGCTTGGTGTTGAGCGTGGTATGGAGCGTGGTGAAAGCTTGTTGGGCGCAATGAGATCGGGGTAAAGACGCACTTAGTTCGTAGTATCGGCGCTGAGGCCCAATTGGCCATGCTCTCACCAAGCTCGGCCAAATTTTTTGAGCGTGGAGCGATCATGATGAGCGTAGCTCTAGTGTGACGGGAGCTTTACTGATAATTTTATTTTATTTGTTTTTATCGCAGATGACTATGGATGAGCGGTATGTGGATAGCATATGGCAGCTGCTGAAGAATGCTATCCAAGAAATACAAAAGAAGAATAACAGCGGTCTTAGCTTTGAAGAACTCTATCGAAATGCTTACACAATGGTGCTGCACAAGCATGGAGAAAGGTTATACACAGGTCTTCGAGATGTTGTGAATGAGCACTTAGTAAACAAGGTAAATAAGTGTAGACTTGCTTGTCATGTGTATGTTAATTGGAGAGAAGGCATAGATTAAGGGGTCAGGAATGTTTAAAATATACTTGCTAATAACGTTTACTCTGTTGTGAACCAGGTTATCAGCGATATAAATAGTTATGGCAACATTAGTTGACTGTTTGTGGTGTATCACGCAAAGGGCCCATGATCTGTCCCTTGATTTCGCCTAGGGACCTTAGGTAGTATTATGTTGCAAGATAGGAATATATTACATGGAGGTGTAGATAACGTGTACATATTCACCCATTGTGGTGGGAACTAGAGACTGTTTAAATGCTCGTGACATCACTGCATTTTTTGCATATATATTTTGTTCAACCGTATAATGGCTTTATGCCATGTATGATATAATACTTAGTCCTGTTTGCAATGGGCAACCATTATTATTCATTTTGTTATAAAATTAAATGTTGCTTGCACTTGATTTTGTAGGTAAAACTAGATGTGATGACATCACTAAACAACAACTTCCTGCAGACACTAAATCAAGCATGGAATGACCATCAAACTAGTATGGTGATGATTAGGGACATACTGATGTACATGGTGCGTATTAATCCTGCTTGCTTGCATCAAAAGAATGTTGAACCTTAAATTAATTGTTGCAGTGGACAGGACAGTAAATAATGAAAAGTTCAACTTTTCACGAATAGAATACAATTTACGTGTTTAAGCTTTTTTATATTCTGTTAAAGTGCTGCTAACATAGGAATTAACATTGTGACACAGTGATAGATTCATTATTCAGGGTATGAAATTAACGCGAGTCCGGAGTCAAATACTCCCTGATTTACTGTTGGACTCCCTTATTTGACACGTGACATGCAGGAGTCCGTGTGACTCTCTGAAAATTCTGCTATACTAACTAGTTCAGTCCAAAGCATGTCCTCGCGGAATGACCATATTTTTTAAGGAAATGTTCCAAGAAAATTTGGCAGACGTGCACCGCAAATGTCATTTTGTTAATATCTTTAGTTTGAACTTCAGACTGCGGACTCCCTCATTTTGCTGAGGACTCCCTCTTTTTGAGGGTAGGGAGTCCGTTGGACTCGCTTGTTCAAAAGTTAATTTCTACCCCTGTTATTTGTATAACTTTTTGTTTGTTTTTGCAGGACCGAGTCTACGTGCAGCAGAACAACGTGGATAACGTCTATAACCTTGGTCTGATGATATTCAGGGATCAGGTTCTACACTATGGCCAGATTAAGGACCGTCTTCAACAGACGCTTTTGGACATGGTTATGTGTGAACGGAAGGGAGAGGTCACAGACAGGTGAGGCTATCTGAACCGATCTGTTGGCGAATGCTGGAATAACTGACACATCGTGTCGTTTAGTGGTTTTTATAACCCTTACCCCCAAATTCACATTAGTTTATCTGATTTCAATGTGCATTACCTTACAAACCAGACTTCCTAATGTTGTTCATTATTTATTATGTTTATAGGTTTCATAATAAACTAACTAAAATTTGAATTACTGTGAAAGTGCAAGTAGCATGGTTGTTAAGATCATATATGCTTTCCAGGGTTGTACAATGATTATAGAATGTAGGGGCAAAAGAAAAATAATAATTTGATAGCAATTTCCTCGCCTCCAATACTAATTTATTTTCCCATTTGCTGGTTGTTTTTCTGACACTGAATGTAATAATGGAGATTGCTGCAATTTGTCAAAGATAGTGAAAAGTTTATTGGTTGTTGTTTTAACTTTGTATATATAGATAATAGAGTGTTTTCTTTGGTGTATCTGCAGGGGAGCGGTAAAGAATGCATGTCAGATGCTCATGGTGCTAGGCATTGACTCGCGGACCGTGTATGAGGAGGATTTTGAGCGACCCTTCCTACAGCAGTCAGCAGAGTTCTTTAGGGTAATCTGCACTGCATTCGAGATGTATAGCCTCGTCTACACGACGTTTCCTTAACCCGGGTTAAGAACAGTCTCGGGTTAGCGTAACCCGGGATAAGAAATGCGTAGCGTCTACACGAGCACCACCCGCTCCACCCTTGAGCGGTTCTGGCACACGAGACATTCCTATTGTTCTATTGTCTATCGCAGGGTTAAGGAACTATGCGCTAACCCGGGTTAGCAGCGTCTACATGACGCTTAACTCCCCTCACATCACGGGGTTACCCAAACCCTAACCCTAACCCTAACCCTATCCCTCCTCACATCACAGGGTTACACTAACCCAGGTTAAGACGTATCCCGGGTTAGTTAATCCTCCTCACATCACGGGGTTACACTAACCCGGGTTAAGACGTATCCCGGGTTAGTTAACCCGGGTTAGGCCCTCATGTAGACGCTTAACCCGGGTTAAAAATCCTCGTGTAGACGGAGCGTATGTTTTGAATGTCCAGTAAATGTAGCATGATATGGTGAGAGGAACAAAAAAGAGTAAAGCTTAAAACCAAAGTGATTATTCGGTGATGTTATTTGCAGTGCAACCCCTGCTTGTCAGCTAGCTGTTAACAATTACCTTGACCAAGCTCTTGGAATCTCTGCTGCCAGTCAGGCGTTGTGTGTTAGGACTATTAAATCACACCGTTTGTTTTTCAGCTTGAAAGTCAAAGGTTTCTGGGTGAAAACAGTGCATCTGTATACATAAAGAAGGTCGAAGCAAGAATTAACGAGGAAGCTGAGCGAGCAGCTCATTATCTAACGAAATCTACAGTCGATCCTATAATAAGAGTGAGTTCCTCATTCTAGCAGAATGTTTACTCAGTTACGTGGCTGTTGTGATTGTGATGGTTGTTTCTAGTAATTAATTATCACATTCTGAGTTAGGTGTGTCACGATTACATGAGTATCTTTTGCTGTTTTGACGTTTTCATCTTTTCGATGTGTGCAGGTTGTTGATGTCAGCTGTACAGGAGTTATTCGTCGTTTAACTATTTTATGCGTTGCAGGTTGTTGAACAGGAGCTGATATGTAAACACATGAAAACAATAGTAGAGGTATGGTTGGTAACATTAGAGTAGTGTATGTTATGAAAAGTTACGTAGCATTTTCAAGTCCAGGTCAATAAAATAATGTATATAATATATTAATATAAGTAATGTATAAATGTTTAAATAAAAAAAAAGGTTATTTTTATATAAATATTTTAATTAATTTAAATAGGTTTAATAGTTTGTTGAAGTAATATTTTGTTTATTGGTCTGTAAATGTTGCTGCACATAAAAGTGTAGGTTTTGCTCAAAGCTAACGGAACACTTCTTACATTTATTATTGATAATATAAGGTCTTTCATAGTTTGCTAAACAAAGCATTTCATTTATTCAGATGGAAAATACCGGTGTGATACATATGCTCAAGAACCAGAAAACAGAAGGTAAGCTATTTATTTCTCCAATGAAACTCAAATTGCCAGTCTTTGAGTCTGGTTTTAATAGCTCAGCATAGAAATGTAAATACGACGCATACGTGCAGTTCATCATGCAAAGACAGTTTAATCGTTCACACCGAGTTACGTGTAGTAGATGAATTCGAGATTAGAGTGGAGACTGTATGGACACCTACAATGGTGACGCCAAAATCGCGGTCGTTAGTAGCCGTGATCGTTAGTAGGCGTCCATAGCCGTGATCGGCGATGCCACGCACGTGTGTTGTCACTCTCTACATGCTCTGTTTGACTGTCTTGTTCCCGTTGTTTTTGTCCACGTTCGCGTAGATCTGGCATGTATGTACAAGCTGTTGAAGCGTGTGGAGGGTGGGCTGGAGGCGATGTCTCAGTGTGTCAGCAGCTACCTGCGTGAACAGGGCAAAGCACTCGTGACAGAGTCCGAGGATGCTGAGACGAAGAATCCGATCAACTATGTCCAGGTACGCAGCATCCGCCCTGTCGTCATGGTGACCGGCTTAGTTTCGGATGGGGGTGAGGGTTTAGGGATCGCAAGGGTGCAGATTTGTGAAAATATTTCTTCGGTTATAACTTTACTATGTAGAGGAATTATGCATCCGCTTCCACTAATTTGTTAGGGGAAGTTATGAAATCCTAGATTCATGATGTTATAACTATTTATGATGTTTTGAAACTATAATCAGAACAGGCAATAGGGCAGGGTTGGCACCCTCTCTATGTCCCACGACTTTTCAACTTAATGAGAAATTATCAATGACACAATAAACTATTTCCAAAGTCTTAATCGTAAAGTAATCACTTTCAGCTTGTGAAATGTAAAAGTTGCAAATCGATAACGAGTCTCGATGGGTCATTTTGGTTTTTTGCTTTTACTGGGCGTGTTCCTTTTTTTCTTTTCTACAGAGTTTACTGGATCTTAAAGATCGGTTTGACCACTTCCTACACGAATCGTTTGGAGATGATATGAAGTTCAAGCAAGTGATATCTAGTGACTTCGAATACTTCCTCAATCTCAACCCGAAGAGTCCAGAGTACCTGTCACTCTTCATTGATGACAAGCTCAAAAAGGGTGTGAAAGGGGTGAGTGTGAACATGTGCGTAAGTTGCTGCTAGCAGTGTAGCACGCGTCGATTTGTATGAAGGTTGCTGCAGCACTAAACCATAGATGAGGTTTCTGAATGGGTTCGCTTCATGCTGCTATATAAAGCAGTTTGTCGTGGAATGCGTGACTGTTGGTTAAAAATCAAGTTGTCATAAGTTGACTTGCCCAATGTTGTTTCGTCCATTTATGAACTAGAACACGTAGAAGATTACAAATATAACTCCACGTTGCTTCTCTATTGTAACTGAGATGGAATTATAAAGGATGATGAATCCTGTGAATAGGAGAATGCACCGCTGCAGATTTATTAGTAAGCATTTTAACACAGCAAGTCGTACGTACGTAATGTCGATTTCTCTTCTTGGTGGAATTCTTTCGGTCCACCCTGCACACCTGGAACTAAACCTTCAGGTATATTCAGGTACCTACAGGTATATTAATGCCATTCGCTCTGCCATCAGTTGACAGAGCAAGAGGTGGAGCTGGTCCTCGACAAGACGATGGTTCTATTTAGATTCCTGCAGGAGAAGGATGTGTTTGAGCGTTACTACAAGCAGCATCTCGCTAAGAGACTCCTGCTCAACAAGAGCGTCTCTGACGATTCTGAGAAAAACATGATTTCCAAACTAAAGGTATTGCTTTCTTCTAAAGGTATATTGACGTAATATAGGTACTGCTCTTTACTGAAGTTATTGCACTCTACTGAAGGTACTGCTACCTATTGAAGGTGCTGGTCCCTTATAAAGGTACCACCCCCTTCTGAAGTTGCTGCTTTACTAAAGGGACTGCTACCTATTGCATATACTCTCATAAAAAGGTACGACTGCCTTCTATTAGTAGGAAGAGTGTCAAGATCAAATATTGAAGCCAGTTTTTTGCTCTATTTGTAGACGGAATGTGGTTGTCAGTTTACCTCCAAACTGGAAGGTATGTTCAAGGACATGACCGTGTCTAATACAACTATGGACGAATTCAAGAGCCATGCACAGACGGTAAGTTATATATATGGTGTTTACTGTTTTACAGCTTATTTCTCTTCATAATATGAGTTTGCTAACATTTTCAACTGTCCACCGAAAGTATCTTCCCATAGTGATGGTCTAAAATTATGTAGGAAGCATGTTTGCAAAATAATTTCGGTCATGTTGTGGTATTCTTAATTTTTCCTCTTTTGCTTTAACATTTTGTTATTGTTCTTACCAAGTTTTGCCAGGTGCCAGACTTCTTAAAAATAATTATGATTTAATACATATGTGACGTAGTTTTGATCTTAGTTGTTAACAATGATCGCAGTCTATTTGAAGTTTGAATTGATTCATAGTAAACATATCTACTTTTGCTGTTTCAGATTAACTTGCACGGTGTCGATCTATATGTGCGCGTGCTTACAACTGGTTTCTGGCCTACGCAGTCGTCGTCACCCAGATGCACGATTCCAGCTGCACCCCGCCATGCTTTTGAAATTTTTAAGAAGTAAGAATACAGGCAGTAAACAGTCGGCACACCCCCATAAAGTTAATTGTCTCATTATTGTTGTGATAATGTGTCTACAGTCCGTGGTTTATGAATGACATGTCCCAGATATGTAAATTTGCAAGTATCCTCGTTAATGCTTATAACAGTGGTGGCATTAGTTGAAGTCCTTATATGCCTTCTGTGAAGTACGAGCAGTATTGAGATGACAGATAAACAGTCATTATTTGTTGTGAAAACATAAAAAACAACGTGCTACTGCTGAGAAAACTGTTTATCGTCTTGAATTCACGTTGATTCTCTGTAACGGTTGTTTGATTGCTAAGCATATTAATCTTTCGATCACACAGCAGGATAACCCTTGGTTCTTCTCCCATTGCCAGGTTCTACCTAGCGAAGCACAGCGGGCGACAACTGACGTTGCAGCTGCAACTCGGATCGGCTGACCTCAACGCGACCTTTTTCGGCAGCAGGAAGGAGGAGGGCGGTGCTAGCACCAGCACAAGCAGTAAGAGCGTTACGCCGCGCAAGCACATCATTCAGGTCTCGACCTACCAGATGTGTGTGCTGATGCTGTTCAACCAGAGGGACAAGCTCACGTATGAGGCGAGTGATGGAGTGCATGCATTTTGTTAGTTTGGTGCTGCTAAATTGTGCAAGATGTTTGGAAGTTAAGCTTGAGTGCTAGGCACTGCACCTGTATTGCGTTATGGTAATGCGCGACAATGCCAGCTGCGTGTTGATAGAGTGGTCAACCAGCGAGTATTTTCTGAAGGCATGTTGAATAACGTTGGCTGATCAGCGTACGTTTGATTTCGGCAGGAGATACAGACGGAAACGGATATAGGAGAGAAGGACTTAATTCGAGCCCTCCAGTCACTGGCGTTGGGCAAGCTCACTCAGCGAATACTAGTCAAGGAACCCAAGTGTAAAGAAATAGGTGAGTGCAGTACTAAGTGGGTAACTTCTTGTTATAACTATCGTGCGAGTGTTAAGATTGTTCAGGTGTTGTTGTGTGGTAAGATTTTTATATTGATTTGAATATCATTGTATGCAAATAGTCAATCCCTATTGTTGTTTTTCCATCAGTCAGCTGATGTCTCTACATCCATTCATCTGTCAGTGTAGAGAATGTTCATATTACCTGTGACAAGATATGATCACACGTGTAAATGCGTGACTTCTGGCATGTGATTGCCATCGTCCAACAGTGGCTTGGCAGGGGTAAATAGAAGGGCTCTAACCACTGAACCAGCAGCAGCCCGATAAAGCAGTTATGCTGCATAGAGAACAATTTTCTATACGACCATTTATTAGGATACTGTTATACTTTATGAGGATTATTTTATACCGTTCGAGTGTCCTTATAAAAGTATTTTTGCTTTTATGGTACTAAGCTGTTTTCTTGTATAATTTCAGAGCCATCTCATTTGTTCTACGTTAATGACCAATTTATATCCAAGCTACATCGAGTGAAGATCCAGGCAGGTAAGTGCATCTCACATGCAGTACTATGTGTGATGGAGAAATGCTGTAACTGGTGGATCAATAGGATGTGTGCAGTAACAAAGATATCATATCTATAAATACTTTCGAATGTGGGAAGGTAATCATCACCATTTATTGAGTTTATTGATCAGTGTTCACCTTAGTTTAATAAGCAGCACACACGTCTCTTAACAGAGAAATCCGAATTAGCTCACTAGTGCAAAGTCTTTGAACGTAATAGGCGAGCGGTAATATAAAACCGGTATGGATTGTCAAAAGATGCGTGTTTTCGTAAACCTAAGTCAGCACAATGATATAGTACACGGGTTGTTATAGGATACGTGTTGTTGTAAAACCTAGGTCGGTCTTAAACTAATTTAGTGTCAGTCACCCTCGTGCCTTTACCACAAAATTTCATTAACCCGCGACTAAATTTCCGTGTATTTTTGGTCAGTTTCATGCACCCCAAAATAATTTCATTCACCCTTGGGTGAACCATTCACCAGTTTAAGAAGCACTGATATAGTACAGGTTGTTTGTTCGCGTCTTGCAGTGGTTGCGAAGTGGGTGGTCGGTCCTGAACGCAGGAGCGCGCAGCAAGGTGGCGAGGACCGCACACATTGAGTAGAGGCGGCCATCGTGCGCTCATGAAGGTAGAGCGATGCAAATAAGGCTCGTCCCTGAGGTACGTTGCCCTGCTCGTGGCTGCGGGGGTGGGTGCGCGAGTGGTGGGGTGGGTGGCTGTAGGTTGGTGGTAGATATAGGGGTCGGGGGGCTACTGGGCCAGTGGGGTGAATATTTTTGTGGTTGCTTGGAAATACTTTCTTGCAGGAGACTTCTCTTCTTTCTTTTTTCTTAGCATTTATTCTGGGCAGTGGGTGATATTTATGCATGAATACTTTCTTGCGGAGGACTTTAGTTTTTTTTTCTTCTTAGCTGTATTACGGGCAGTGGGGTATATTTTGCATGAGTCCTTTTGATTGGTGCATTTGTTTATGTCAGAAGATTTTTGTAACATTTTTGGGATACGGATGGTCCAGCGTGAGTCTTCGGCGGTTTAGTGTCTAGTCCATGGTCCTCCATGTTTCTGTAGTTCATAATACAGGATTTTTGTTGCAGTGATATTTTTTACAGCCTCACTTATAGATAAATCGGTGTGAATATGTTTCCAGGAGTTTGTGTTGCAGTCGTTCCGTGATAAGCTATGTATCAGCAACTACAGGGTCGTGGGTCTTCCAAGTCTTTAAGTATTTTTCCAGAAATAAACTAAGGGCCCTTATTGAGTACTCTATTTTTGCGTGACTCTTAGAAAGTACTTAATAGTCCTTATTTTTTGCAGTATTGTTGTATATATAATACGGAATAATTAAATCTGCTGTGCAATTTTGAATATAAATATTATTAGTGTATTTTAATAGTCGGTGATCTATCAGAAATCGCGTAAAAAAGTCTTATTTTGGCCTCCAGAAAGGGTCTTATAAGTCCTTATTTCAACATGTGTCTTACTACTATGAACCCTGACTAGCAGTGAGTGTAGTACAGTGCTGGTTTGCTAGTGTTTATACTTATAATATCATTCTCACAACAAGCCCTGGCATAATTTTCATCTCTGTAAACCTGCGTGAGTATTTTTTAAACACGTACATTGTCAGAGGGAATGCACACATAGAATTGCGTCATCGAGAATGTTTGCTCATGCGTGTGTTTACTAGTGAGGTTTAGGTGGTAACTAGTGAGAAAAACTATAACGAATGCAAACATTTTGAAGGCCAATGTCATTTCAAAAGGCCATCTAAATCATTACCTGTCTTTGTTGCCTATGTGCTTGCAGAGTACAACATGTAAAGTTATTGCTGCATTGTGAGTGTAGCTAGATTAAGAGGGTTATGGCTGGGGGGTGCTGTGACCCCAGGTAAGAGTATGCGGGTAGCACAGTGGGTCAGATTGCGAGCGAGAAACCAACATGTACAGGGATCCACCCGTTCCTGTCCGTAATAGCTCACCGCATATATATCACGCGTGGTGCATGTTGTATTGACTGCTTCATATTGTCGTGATAGAATCATGATACGGTGCAGAGCGACTGATGTTTATTCAGCGGCCTCATCTGTCAGGTTGTGCTGATGCATCACACGAGTTGATTTCAGGGAGTATTTGTGCAGTGGCTACCCTGAATTGTCAATGTTCCTAGAGGCTGCTAAGTGGTCGTAACTAAATATTTATCTTCAAGGTTACACAGCAGTTGAAGGCGAGATTCCTTCCAAGTCCTGTGATCATCAAGAAAAGAATAGAAGGACTGATTGAGAGAGAGTATTTAGCAAGAACACCAGAAGATAGGTATGGAGGGGTTATAGTCACAGTTATTTGATGAGTTAGGTTTGTATAATATAGTTGATTGCAATAGACCAAGTATGGGATGTGATGAATTATGTGAATGATATTATATATTATAATTGTGAGTAAAGATAGTAACAACCTGCAAAACATGTTTTTAAACAATATGTCTGTGTGTATGTGCATCAGGGGAAAAAATACACGAGGGCGGCGGGTGATTTCGCCCCCGAAATGCCAAAAAGAGCCCCCGAAAATACGATATCGGGGGCGACCCCAAAAGCAAAAGTCGCCCTGGAAATCGATTGTCCAGGTCGGTCCCGCGCCTTGCCGATCTCGCTCGGCCTCTGCCGCTAGCGGCAGCCGGTTCCACGGCGCGGTAGAATTCCTAGTACGGTGTGGCTGTCAAGTGTTTATCATTAAGCATGCATGTGTGTATTGCATTCAATCAAG